CAGTGCGTATGTTTTTTTTTTACCCCCCCCCCCCCCGGCCTCTAACCATCGAGTGTTATATACAACGTACCAATAGCGGATTAAAAAAAAAAAAATATTACAGGATTGAAAAATCTTGATTTATACAGAGCAGTGACTGAAGCAAACAGCTGGAAATAGCAAAGGAGCTGCGGGTGTTCCCGTCACACCCCCCACGCACCGGGTTTTCCGACAGAAAAGTACCAGGGGCCGCTGGCACGGCCCCAGCCACCCAGATTTATGGGTTTGATTAATTTGTGTCCAACAGAGGAGGGCACAGGGCCGGCGTGTGTCACTGTGCGGGCAGGGGCTGCGCCAGGTGCAGCGGGGGGGCCGGCAGGGGCCAGCCCTCCTGGTGGTTCTGCAGCAGCCGGTACAGCTGCTTCAGGTGCGCCACGATGTTGTCCTTGATGTCGGGCGTGGAGATCTGCAGCCTCACGCTGCCGCTGTCGAACGAGCGGGTGAAATCGCCCGAGAACATCTCGTAGATCATCCGGGCCACGACGGGGATGACCTGTTGGAGGAGGAGTGGGTGTTTTAGGGGGTCACACGCCTGTGCAGGAGCCCTGGGTGTGTTTTCCACGATAAGCAAACACACGCAGCGTTTGTATTTGCTGTGACAAAACCCACCAGCCCCAGTGACCATGAGAGGGAAGAGCAGGTCTGTAGCACCCAAGGCCCCAGCCCCAGCAAGGCTGGCACGTGTCACTTCAGAGACCCCGCTCCTACCTGGACCACAATCAGCTTCCTCTCCCGGGGTTTTCCATCAGGCCATTCTTCTCCAAAACAGAAGTAGATCTCATATGGCGGCTGTTTCTCAATTTGTCCTTTCTGATGGGCAATCAGCTCTAGGAAGAAAAGCAGAATGCTGCGGGGTTGTCCTCTTTCAGTCAGAAACACTCACCACATCCCACCTTGTTATACTGTCCCAGGTCTTACCTACGCCCTGCCCTTTGCCAGAGCCACCTCTTACACAAATACAGATTATGTTTTGCACCCAGAAAAGTTTTATTTAAAAGCAAAGCCCAGTGTTTTTTGAGCGTTATGTGACTGCACGTTCACTTTCTCCTGATGTGCACCTGCTCCACAGGCCACTGAAGTCAGGGAAGCAGTGGCTCCACACACCAGCAAACAAACTGGTGCATCCAGGCTGATCCCTGGGGCAGACCACCCTTTCCTACAGTGCCACCAACTGCCCAGACCAGTATCCAAAGCTAATTTCCAGAAGCAGAAGCTACCTACCGCTTAGGAACGTTTCCAGACAGAAGAGTTTGACTTTCTTTTGCCTCTCGATCAGGTTTGGTGTGGTGGAGGAAGGTGCACAGGGACCAGACCAGTACACCTTGCACTGGCAGAGCCGGACAGCATAGATGGCATGGCCACTGACCTCCAGGATCAGTCCCCTGTCCATAACATCCAGCAGCCGACTGGTGAAGACCTTCTGCCTCTCATTGGTGATTTGCTCTGTTCCTGGAAACTTTACTTGCTCCAAACTGATGGGCCCAAAGAGCTCCTCCTGGTCTGGCATGGGACCCAGCTCTCCGTAGAAAAGCCTGCATCCCTGCGGGTTGCTGACAGTCGTCGTGGTACCAGTCTCCTTTCCTCGGTACTCAAACTTGATTTCTAGGTCTGTCACTGAGAGAGAAACTGTCAGTGGGGCTTTCCCTGGACCCTGCATGCAGAGACACACCACACAACCCATGCTACAATCCATGCTACAGCCAGAGGGATGAGTACTCCAGACACAGCTCTCCACACTAACAAGCAAATAGCCATGGGGAAAAAGGAAAAACTATTCTTTTTCCCCAAATACAAGGACAGGAGCCCTACGAATCCACCTACGTACTTGGCAGAGAGCTGATCCAGAGCTCAGGGCTGCTGAAGAAGTCGTGCTGCAGTGCAGTTGGGGGCATTTCCATATCTAGAGGTTCATTCTTTGGCCACACTGCTTCAGGGCTGCAGTTTTCTGCGCTGGCTGGAGCCATGGGAGAATCTACAAAAAGGAAACAGTTTTTTTCTTCAGTGAGCTGAGATTTTATTTCACGAATGCACCAATTTACAGGCAAATACCTTCACTAATACACTAGTATATGGCACCAACCATTGATATTAAGAAATGGAAACGTCTCTTGAATAGGGACATGCTGAGATTGATTCAATTCTTCCTCCTCTTCATCATCAAGATCATTATCTTTTTCATCCCAGGGAGCTGAGCCAGTGGAACCTGTGAACAAGCACATCCTTGTGGGTGGTTGATCACTGTGAAACACTGAAATGCATTTGTTGAAAAAAATGAATGCAATTTTCATCTGGGCTTTGCACAAGCCTGGACACTTTATTGTGTACGTCCCTAATGTAGGTAAATAAAAAACAAAGGAAAACCCTGATCTGCACAACACACAGTTTTCAGTGTAATATATGAATCTAGAAAGCTGAGGATAGAAACTGTTGCCAGCACTGGTTTAGCAGAAGCATCCAGCTGTACAGCTGTATGAATGCAGTGCAGGGGCACACTGGGGGCAAAGCAGAACCGGGCTCAGCCACGGCAGCTGCTCCGCGCTGCACACGCAGGCAGCTGGAGAGTTAATGCTGGGCTTGGACCAACGCCTGCTCCCAGCCCAGCCCCGTGTCAGCCAGGTCCTCACCTGGATTAATGATTGATCCCTGGGACTGCGGGATATCGCAGACTTCATAAATTTTAATAGGATTCATGGGCACCTCCTTGGTGCCATCGTACATCAGGTTGAACTCCCGGCTTTTGTTGAGGGCACATCGGAGCTGGGCTTTCCACTTGGCAGGGTCTGGCTCGTCCACTCCTTCCTGGTACTTTCCTGTTTCCACAGCCCAAGCCTAGGGACAAAGTGCACTGTGCTCAGTCCAGGCCTCTCACACTGCAGCTTTTATCAGAATTCAAATGTGCCCACAAGTTCACTGTAAAATTATCTCACAGAAGTCTTAACTATAGCTCTTCTGACAACAACAACAGAAATGCCTGCTTTAGTAGTCTTTCCCTGTAAAAGGAGGGGAGGAGTAGATTTATACACAAACCACCAAAAAAACAGTAGCTATTCTGAGCATGCATCTTCATACAAGTTAAGAAAGTATAAATTGTCCAGGACTGTGCACTGAGCTTTTCCAGGGGTCTCAGGTTCAGGATCAAAAGCTGTTCTAGTTGTTTTTGACAAGGAGCCACAGCCTGTGTAGGAGGAATGGACAATGGAGTCACAATGGAGTGGAGGAGCAGCCCCAGACACCAGCTGGCCCTCTCCCTCTCTCACCCCACGATCAGACTATCTGCCTCCAAGGCAGAGGCCAGAAATTCCTCAAAGGAGTGTAGGAGTTATAGTGAATCCCTTGGGATAAGAATATTAGGGACAGCAGTGGCGAGTACTGGGAGTTTGTGGTGGATCTGTTAAGATTCATGTAACAGTATTTAATGGTTCGCTGCCAAGAACAAGACAACGACCACATGCTAAAGCAGCAGTGTTCCAGAGTCCACACAATCAGACACTGTCAGGTCCCAGGTGGTCAGAAAGGGTTAAAACACTCGACACTGTCTCAGGCAGAGCCAAGCTTGGCATCCAGGTGCACAAAGTGGCTTTTCTGAGGTCAAATAGGACAAAATGTGCCTGGAAACAGCCACCCAGATGCCTATCCAGCTCCTGGGCCAACAATTCAAGCCTTTGTGCCTGGTTAGGAGCTGTGGCGTTGCCCAGCTCTCCCTCCCTCACCTTGAAGATGGTGTTCTCCTCCTCGTGCTGCGGGCTGTGCCGCGTCGCGTGCTTCCAGGGGATCTGGAACCGCTTGGCTTCCCGGTTGAGCCAGATCAGGCCCGGGTACATCCCACTGTCCACCTGGGCCACCAGCCACGGCTTCAAGCGGACCCTCCGCGGGTGTAACGCCATCTACGAGAGACGGGGGTGACAGCAGAGCAGCTGCTACAGGTCACCTGAGACTCACGTGCTCTACAAAACGTTAATGTGATGAAAAAGGGCCGTGGGGCTGCTGCTGTTTGACATGTTCCTGCACCCTGGAGCCACTGATGCAGCTCAGTGACTCTTCTGCCAGGAGGGACAAAGGCATCACAAAGTGGGGACCAGAGCCGTGACAAGGACTGATCCCTGTTCCAGGCAGCTGTGGCACGTTCCTTGTGCTGGCTGAGCACACGGAGGACGAGCCCGAGCCAACCCCAGCTGGGCAGGAGATAAAGCCACAAACAAGCCACAGCAGGAACAGGCAGCAGAGTTTCAAAAGCCTCCATGTACACCCCAGTGAAGGGGCCCAGCTGTTCTGTCTCCTCTTCAGCCGTGTCAGACGCACCAGGGCGAGAAACCAACGTGCTGAACCAGAGGCTTTTGCCCCAGTTGAGGTACAGGTGGAAGAAGCATCAGGCTCGAGTGGAGGGAAACA